CCGGGGCTCCCCCCCGCAGCCCGGCCGGGGCCATCCCGCAGCCTCGCCGCTTCTCCTCATGAAAACAAAGATGAAACGCTGCTGGGCACGGCCGGAGCGGGCGCTGCCCCGGTTCTGGGGAGCCTTGGATCTTCTCTTTGCCTCTCCCGTGATACTCGGGATCAGAACGTGAGCGACGGAGTCGAAAGTTGGTTCTCTGCAATTTCTTCGTGTGGCTTCTGATGGAAGCGAGAGGATCGGACTGCTTGTTAAGGAGGGTTTTCTTCTTAAACGTTTTCCGAAGGAGAAAGCTTTGTTCTTTTCATTTTTTGTCACTTTTTCAAATACAGTCCTGTTAAGTATCTTGAACTTCTCTTCAGAAGTACCTCAACTGTGAAAAAGTTTGAGATACAGTAAGACAGAGACTTGCTAGTGGTTGGGATCATATTATAACATAAATAACTTTAGTCCTTTGATTTGGAACAGTACTGTTATGTATTATTGTGCTTTTGATAGAAATAACTTAAAAATTATAAAACACCTGGCCTAGTAACTCTTAATTGCTACTTTGCATGTTAACCAATCTCAAGAATGACAACTGGTATTAGTAGGATTTGGTTTTTGTATGTGTGTGTGTCATTTTTTATTTTCAAATAAAAAGTACTGACATTTATTTCCTAATTGAAAGTTTCAAGTTGGTGAACAGCTATAATATCTATTTCCTCCTTTTTAATGACCTGTTGCACTTCAGTAAAACGATCACTTCTTGTTTCATACCTTTTAAAAAAAAGTGCTGTTGTTTTTTTTTCTTTTATTTCTTCAACAGGAAGGAGTGAAGACTGAAAACAATGACCACATTAATCTGAAGGTGGCAGGGCAAGATGGGTCTGTGGTGCAGTTTAAGATTAAGAGGCACACACCACTTAGTAAACTAATGAAAGCCTATTGTGAACGACAGGTATGGTTCTTGTATGATCATCAGGAGAACCGGTGTCTGGGGGAGAGGTGATCTCCATAGAGACAGTTGAAGACAGTAAAGTCCTAAAAACTATTGAATTATGCAAAATGCTTCACAGAAACTAATTGCCTTGTGGGAAGTGTATTGTTCTTGGGATCTGTTCTAGAGTGGACTGACAGGATTGTGACAGGAAACAGGTAAAATAAAGATCTGTTGTTATCTTTGTGAAATCTGCATTCTAGGTGTAGGCTTTTGGGAGGCAACTGTTACTCCACTGCTCAAAAATATCAGTGTGGAAAGGGTGGACCCTGTGGTGTGAACTTGGGATAGAGAGTTGAGTGATAATCAGAGGTATTTTTATAACTCTGAGTAACTTCTTGGTCTGGTCATAGACTTCTCATTTATTAGCTTAGTGTTATTGTATTGAGATGAGAGAATATCGGTGAGTATTTCAGGGTTTAAAGGTGTCTAATGTTTAGCTTGTGCATTTATGAGTGCATTTAATTATGAGCTTTGTTTTTTCTCTTGTGGCCTAGTTGTCAAATTAATCCTCTGAGGGACAAGAAAAAAACAAGTATTTTGCTAGTGTAGAACTGCAGGCAGCCTACTAGGTTGCAGGCAGCTACTGCAAGTTTTATAAACACCTGTGTAAGAGCAGTGCTACTTAACACTTTCTCTGAAGCTTTTGATTAGGAAAATTTTGTCTTTGCTGCCCATAATTTTTTTAATGACTATCTGCCTTTAAAAAGTTCCATCTCTACAAAATTATTTAGAATTGGGGAAGATTTTTTTTAAAAAAACCCCACAAATATTCAGTGATACCATTGAATACAACAAAATCAATATAAAATAGTGGGGTAACTATTTGTCCACCAAGAAAAACAAACTTTAATTCACATAGAGTGTGGTAAAACCTCTTTGGTTTACCCTTTGCCACAGTAGAATAATGATACAAATAAATCAGGGCAATCAGCTCTTATTGAACATGTTCTTGTATGGGTGTTCTGGGGAAAAATGAGTGAATGTTTGGAGCTGTGAGCTCATTTTTCCTACCTCTGTCATACAAACTCATGTTATGTTATGCAAATCACTGTGTGTTGCTTTTTCCAAACATAAAGTGCAGCTATTATTGTCTTTTGGGGAGTTTGAGGATTGGTTAATTGTCTCTAAAGTCTTGGGAAAGATGATTTTAGATGTACTTGGAAACAAACAAAAGTAAGATTCTAAAACTTTTCACCTAAATTTCTACGCTGTTGGGTTTTTATTTTTTTAAAACAAACTAGCAAAAAAACCCAGGTGTCAGTTGGAGGGGAAAAAAAAATCTTTAGAATGAGAGATGTTATTTCTGATTTCAGTTTTAAACTAGTAGGTATCCAAAGGATATTTCTGTGGAGATGGACTAGTCTTTAAATTTTGTTTCTTAGGTGCTTACTTCTCAAACTTGGTTTAAAAGCATTTTTTCTGTGTGTTTCTAACAGTTTTGTTTGTGTTCCTGGCTAGGCATACACAATCTTAAAATCCTTAAGCTGTGCACTTTAGGTTTAATTGTGGAGGGTGGAAGCTGCATACAGTAGAGAATTTAGCAGCTTTAAAGAGTGAAAATAGTGTAGTAGACCTAAAATGTAAGTAAGTAAACCTTAAATTATATGTTTACAAAATCTAGACTATTTGTGATTATTGTGAGCGTGGTAAAAAATCATCCATGGAACATGCTTAATTTTTTGTGGATGCTCATCTCACCAAAGTGCAGTTTTTCAGTATGTTTTCAGCTAACATTAATTCAGCTCTCAAAATTGTTAAGAACCTTCAAAAACCCCAACAGTTTTGGAATAGGAAATATATATATTTTAAGAAACACAATGGAGCAGAAAACAGCTCAAACCAAATGTTGCTGTGCAGACATTTGTTGCTGTCGTGACACTTAGAGACCCGTGGTTTTCTTAAACAAGATGATGTTCTGAGCGAGCCCTGCAGAATCTTAGTCACACTAGAGAAGGCAATTTGCTGTGAACTAGAAACTCTTCACCAAAAAGTTTATTTATTTCAATAAAGAATACAGAAATATCCTTTGGATACCTACTAGAGAGTAGGTAGAACTGGGAAAGAAATAGACACCAAAGTTCTTGGTTGTGGTTGAATCAAACTTCATTCACCTGCCTTTGCAGAATGTAGTGTGCTATAGAATACCTTTGAAAACTGACTTGTGAATTTGAAGCTTATGTTATTAGTAGAAGGGATTATTATTGTTCTTTAGTTATCTTTTTGAATCTGTTGGCTCCAGGAGGAATGAGAAGGAGTCTTCTGGGGATGGAAGTGGTCAGCAAAATGACTATTGTGTGGTAGAACTGCTAGTTCAAAATACTGTTCTGTGGCTTCTGGAAGTACAAGATTCCTTTGGGGTTTTTTTTGAAAGTTCCAGCTGTTCATGGACAAACTTTTTTCCCTTGATTTCTTGTTAATAGGAATTCAAGGTCAAAATGTTACCAGTGGCTACTCTTTGCTGCTGCAGACTCATAGATAGTGGTTGCATTTCTGGAAAAAATACCTTCAGAATACCTTTACTTTTTGGGAAGATTAAAAAGGAGTATTGAATATTACTGTTTGACATTTGTTGCCCAAAGTATGGCATCTAAATTTTAACTGAATTATGATTAAAAAGCAGTCTAAAAGTTCTGGCCTTTGGGGTGAGACTTGTGTACTAGAAATTGCTTTGCAGTCAGTGGGGGCACTGTTGCTTCTCTTAGTTATTGGACACAATGCAATTTTTAATATGAAACAGATTGTGAGGATTTGTAGTGAAATGCCTTAAAGTAAGTGCATGAGGGGAACACAATAACTGTATCATGCATTATGAATGGTGGCTTTTAATTATGCTGCAATTCCAGTGACAAGTTCAAGAGAGAACTAGTGAGTACTGTTACACCAGACTGACTTCCCTTTTTGTTCTTTCTCTTTGTCCAGGGGTTGTCAATGAGGCAAATCAGATTCCGGTTTGATGGGCAGCCAATTAATGAAACAGACACACCTGCACAGGTAAACAACAGAGCAAGGCTCAAGAATTGTATTTGAAATTTGCTGCAGGAATTGATGCTTCTGTCTCATGTAAAATATTTATCTAATTGTATATATTAGTGAAAGAACTTGATCTTTTTTTACCATTATTTTGGTATAGCTAGTTTAGAATTATTGGAAATGGAATCTATGACTTTTAGTGTTTTGAATACTATGTCTGTATCACTGTAGTAATAAAATTGAACAAATGAAGTACAGTGATGATGAATCCGTCACTTTGAGTCACAGCTCTGAGATAAGAATTGGTAAGTGAAGAACTGAGTTTTCCCTGAAGTAAGGGCTTTATTTTCTTACAAAAGCTTGCCTGGATGTTATCAGAGATCCTGTTTGCAAACTTGCACTGGCAATACAAAAGTCACTTTCTGTTATTTGTAATTGGAAGCTGTTTCAGCGGCATAAAATTAATAAATACTGTGAAGTTTGGGTTGTCTGTAACTGGTGAAAACGAAGGGCATTCCAAGTTGGAATGGTTCACTGTGACTCAAGAGTATTTTTTGTACTGCTCCACATAGCTGTGTCTCATCAGCCTTTCCAAGTGATACAGTCGTACGTGCTTTTTAGAACCACTTGTTAGGAAATCAGGGATTCTTGTTTTTAGAAGGTTTATAATAGATCTGTATTTTCTAAGCAGTTGCTCCAAATAATGTGCCTCCTACAGCCACAATCTATGCAACTTTTTAAGTTGAAATACTGATAATTGAGGCAACAGGGTGCTTTTCTCTCCATCCATGTTATGCTGAAGCTAAGGATCAGTCTATTTATAGCTGTGGTAAATGCCATAGACCAGTTTGATTTCCTGGAGCAGGAATTGAGACTGTTTAGAAATACAACTTAGATTAGTTGTAGCAACTCCTTCAGTCTTGGTACAGGTTGTGTCAGTAGGTAACATTAACATCTCAAGAATATAAACTGTTAAACTTACAGTGGAAAAAGAGAATTATATTAATAAAATATCACTGTTTCTTGCTGGCAGCTTGTTACATCATTGACCACATGAAGTGTTTTTAATTTTTCTTCTGTGCTTGCTGGTGCTCTGTTTTACTGCCTGGTTGGGCAAGGGACCTTAATTATAGTCTGCTTTCTTTAGTGCTGTAGCTGAAGCCACTTGCACATTTGAACAGCAGCAGCAAAGTGGAATTGTGGCAGTGTTCTAAGGTAAAGTGAGAAAGTAAATAGGAGAAAGAAGATGCAATGACAAAGTAGGCAACAGAATTAAAATACTGTGACTGCTGATTTTTCCATAGGACTCATACAATGCACCCTGAAGTTACATATTAGAATTAATTCTAGGACAATAGTTATCAACTGGCATTTTTTTCCCCATGCAATTTCATTGCTTTTGAGTTATCGTGAAGCAGGTTAAATGTACAAATGGTTAAGCTGCATGAAAAGTAAACATGCAAATAGGAGATGTCAGAACAACCCAGCCTGAAGTAGATCTCTGAGAAGAGTTGAAAGTCTTTATTTTTTTTTCTCTTTTCTGCTCTAGTTGGAAATGGAGGATGAAGATACAATTGATGTGTTCCAGCAGCAAACAGGAGGAGTTTACTAAAAAAAAACAAAAACAAAAAACCAAACCCAACAAAACCCAACAAACACACACAAAAAAAAGAACCTGCTACTTTCCTCTTCAGAACTGTGCTCCCACAGGCGACACATTCACAATTAGAAAAATGAGACTTGGTTCAGCCACATCCTGACTACTGCAGTATAGTTTTCTCTCTTCTCTCTCTGATTTTTTTTTTTTCCTATTCCTTCTATTGTACATAAAGTAACTGGTGTATGTGCACAGACATAATGCATATTTTTTTTAACTAAATGGCCAATGAAATGTTTTGATCAACATTTAATGGAGATGGGGTGGGAAAACAAACTGGTTCTGTGAAAATGCCCCTTTCTCCGTTAGTGGCATGCTCCTTCTACTTTTATCTTTATATTCCAGTAAGTTATTTTGCTCTCACTGTTTAAAAACAAAAATCTTGCATACCTTGTTTGATTGGATAATTTCAATGTTTTTCTTTTATCATTGTAAAACCAAGGACAATTTTATAACTTTTTTGTACGTAGCTGTTACATGTAGAGCAATCTCTGTCTAAGTAGGGGTAAATTACTCTTTAAAAAAAAAAAAAAAAATCCTAGATAGTTTTCCCTTCAAGTAAAGCGTCTTGTTGTTTAAATAAACTTCTTGTTTAAAATAAACAGTTTTCTTTATTTTTCTGTGGAGTAATAATACTCAGCACTTGTATTTCTTTCTCTGCAGTGCTTTATGCTTCTCAGTTCTCAGCTTTCTATGCGGTAAGTAAGCATAATCCCCCTGTTACAGTCAGAAGCTGTTGGAAAATGAAATGCTTCCTTGAGACCTCTCAGTCAGTCAGTAGTTGAACTGGAAATAGAAGTCAGGTTTGTTGTCTTTTGATTTTTATTGTTTTTGGTGTACTGCTAAGCCAAAAATGTTTGATTAGGCAAACTACAAAATATTGGACTACTTAGTCACGCCTTTGGGTTGAGCCCTTTTTGTCAGTCTTTAATAGAAACCTCAATATTGTTGTTACAGAAGCTTATTTACAACTCTACTTGAATGCTTTTTGATGTACCATTAAGTTAAAATGAGCAAAGAATTTCGTTAACCATTCAGTTTACCATGGTATCAAATGGGAGGTGCTTGGAAATGGAAAGCAAAAATTAAAAAATGAGTTCTGGGTTTGGTTGTATTTATGGTGGTGTAGATTCCAAGCTCTGCTTTACTGTTGTGGTGTTCCTGCTTGAAAGGGGAAGAGGCTGGAAGTACTGATGGGAGCTGGTGACAGTGATGTTTGTCACGAGTCTTTTCCACAACGTTGTTGTTCGTGAGGTTTCTTATGGGGAAGTTTAGAGGTTGCAGTGAAATGCATGAAGGTTCATGAAACGTTCCATACCTGTCTACTGAACAGCCCCAAAGCTTTCTCTGATGTCCTAGGAATGTGCTAATATTTTGTAAGTCAGTGCTCTTCTAGGTATTAGCAGAGCTCAGTTTTTGGTGGTAGTTTTTGTAACAGTTAATTCAAGAAGTGATTATTATGTGCTAGGCCTGTGCCTGCTGGACCTGGAAATTCTCTAACTTTGTGGCAAAATGATGGATCTCTGCATTTAGCTGATGGAGGATGGTCTGTTTGACTCCTGTCATGATTTTAACACATATGATACGACATTAATTGAATCTAATGGAGATAGAAGAAAAATAGTGTCTTTTTTGCAGTTGCTTTTGACTGTGTAGCTGAAGGATGCAATCTACTGTATGCCATTGTTTTAATTCTAGGAAGTTTTACTGCTAAGCAGATTATTTCTTATTGTGCTACGTATCTTGTAGACTTCTGTGGTGTATTGCAAGGTTGGAATTGCTTCTTGTGAACAAGCACTTTGATATCCAAACCCACAAAGACTTGGAAAAAACTCCTTTGGGGAGGGGGGGTGGGGGAAAGGTGGTGGTGGGGGGAATGTGTATCAACACCTTTCATAGGTTAGAAATGGAATATGTTCCTCTTTGGCTTTAAAATCTCTGGCTTTCAACCTGGCCAGACTTCTGATGACAGTGTATAAAATTCTTTCAACTTGATGTCATGCCAAGATTTCTCCCAGGAGAAAGCTGTCTTTATCTTATTTGGCCTAAAAAGATGTTTGGACTTGCTTTAGTTTCTGAAGAAAGGGTGAGGTCTCCTTAAATACAGTTGGTTTTTTTTCAGCCCAACTTAAGACTGTGAAGCTCAAAACTCCCTGTTGTATCTTGCCTTCTATTTTTTGTTTCCTGAGGCAACATAAGTCAAGTGACAGGTACTGAACAGCATGCTTTCAAAAACAATGTCTTAATTCCCTGAATTAGTAGAGTGGTACTTCATCTGTCATGAACTTTGTGCATGATCCTTGTAACAGTGTTCTGTTAATAAAATGAGACTATTTAACATGAATTTTGATAAGCTTACCAAAATTCCACTGTGCAAAAATGTAAAACATAGGCTTTTGAACCTTTGAATTGATATGGCAGCTTTAGAAATACTCCTTAATTTGCCATAAATTGAAATTTTCTGTAGTATTTAGCAACAGGGTATTAAAAAATTAGAGTTATTGATCACCTAAACTTACTTTACTATGAGTTTACTCATATTTCTGGAACAATTCCTCTAACAGTGCTGAATGGTGTTTATGTAAGGTGGTGACTTCAATCAAAAACTGATAAAATAGTCTTTTCTGAGAGATGGTTCCTCGATCTAATGAAAATCATGAAACTCTCAAAGGTCTTAAGTGTCTTAGTTCCTTAAGAGCCTCAAACATTTAATTTCCATTAGTCTAGCAAATTGTTAAGTGGACTGGCACATTCTAGTACATATTTGTGTACACAGCAGTGCAGAAATACTAACCTGTGTTTTTAAAACCTTTTTTTTCAGAACTCTTCTTGTGTAGTCTAGCCTTATTCCCCTTATGACAGAACTTGTTGCTTTTTGGTGCTGCTTCTCTGTTGCTTAGAGAATTTACCTGTTGATTCCTGTTTGCTGGGAACTCAGGTGGTTTTACTGTGACTCCCTCTTCACTAAGAACGCTACTGCTAAGGGTGGTAATTCAGAAGTGGCATGAAGTAAAGGGGTATAAGCAATTTGGATCAAATTATTTGTGGTTCACTTAGCTCTTTGGCCTGGCTTGGTTTGTAACAGTTCTCATGTTTACACTGGTAGCCTAATGGACTACTAGAAGTCCACATGTCTGAGGGTAAAGAAAAATGGGCAAAGAGGTCTTGTCATGCTAGTTGGGAGGTAAGTTTTTAATGTTTGTTAAACAGCTGGGATCTTTCAAGAGCCTGGGCAAATTATATTATTACCCACAATTTTCAAATAAGGTATTCTGAAGTGATTGCTGTGCAATTTAGTTAATATTCCTCTCATGGTTTTTAAATGAAAAAGGATGGAGCAAGTCATATTTGGATGCAATGCTCTAGTGAGTTCTTGTGGATGATAAAGACCTTGCCTTTAGCGTACGCTGGGTCGTTAGTTCCTCAGACAGTTTCAGCTGTGGAATGAACACAACCTTAAGCATTATTTGGCTTTCCAGTTACTTCAAAAGATGTAAGCAAAATTGTTTCAGACACTGAAGTAAGGCATTTTTATTCATGGCCAGGAGGGAATAATGACAGGTTAAAAGCAGAGCTGGTTTTGATGGAACCCTTCGTTAGCACCTGAAAATCAGTGCCTTAGTTTATCTGCATGGTGGGGATAATACCCACTTAAAAGGGCTCTTGTGAGGATCGATACTAAGTAGCCCGAGATGTTGGTTCAAGAGGGGTCCTGGGAGTGCAAGGTTGTTCTGAAATGGAATATGCTAAAGTGTCAAGAACGTAAGGAAATACTCCAAGTGGTAACGTGAGATTGTTGTACTGATCTACGGAGATGTTCTCAACAAAAGAAAAATCCCTGAACATTACTAAGGTAATTGCTGTTTCATGATAACTACAGTATCAAAAACAGATAGAACACCTGCAAAGGTTGTGGTCAAAGCCAGATTATTTTCTTGCAAGAATATTCCTTCCTAGTACTTTCACCTCATTACTCCTGAGGCAGAGGATGTAATGTAAGTGCAGTCGTTTTGTCTCTTGGATACCGGTTCTATTGTAACCGTTACTGCAACATTAATGGAAAGGTATAATGTGACTGGCTCAAAGAAATACTACTTCCTATGCTTCAACCAGTTAGAAAGAATTGAATTTATAAGGAATAGCAATTTGTTTTCAAAGCTAAAAATTAAAAATTAGGTGTTTCCTTAATTATCCTCTATTAAATTGCAAGTGAACAATAAATTGAAGTGTTTTTGTTAGAACTTTAGCTTGTGGCCACTTCTCAGTATGCTTGTATCTGCTGGTGTGATGGACTGTTGTGGAGTAATAAAAGACAATCCAAAAGCATTTAAATAACTTGAATTAATTCTATTACCACTGTAATTAATACATTTCATTCTTGGGATTATTGAGGTTTGTTCATTCTGGCTGTTAATCAGTTGCCAAACTGAATATGTTCTCGTAGTGAATAATTTAATCCTCTAATTTATCTTGTCGGTTTGTACTTGGTGTCAGAATGAATTGGTAGTACAGCACTTCTCCCTAGTGGTTGGGAGGGAGGAGTGTGAGGATAAATAGGAGATGGAAGACTGGATCTTGATCCTCGTTTGCAGCTTTTGGTTGGCCTTCAAGATGCTTACTTAGAGATATTTTCTGGATTCTTCACTTCATAGCAGGGATTAATGGTTTTATTCTAACAGGGAGATGTGGGGAGGCCCAGTGTGTGTTTATGAACATGGTTTGAGTCCCTTTGAGGGGAAGAGTTTTTCTCCTGAAGAAATTCAGTTTATGCAGGAGGGATCAAGCAGGGCTGATGGTGCTGTGAAAGAAATGTCTGGCTGTCAGCAGAGATCCCAGAATTAATGAGGGTCAGTGGTTTGCTGTGGAAAGACAGCAAAGGTGTATGAGTTGGAGAGGAGCTGCAGTGAGAATGAGGAGTATAGGGAGAGCTGTAGGTTTTAACAATTGTGAGATAAGGATGACTTTAGAGCCCTGGGGAAAGACTGAGGTGGTGGAAACCCAAATAAACAGTAAAGAGATTGTTGCTCCCTAGAAAATGAATGTTCTCTGAGGGGGTGTGGATGCAGAGGACACCCTGTGTGATGAATTTTGTGCTGGTTTTGGTGGCTTAGATTCCCCCCTTATCAGCATCCAGTCCATAGATCTCATTAGAGCACATCTGATGCCCTGCAAGGGCTCTTGAAGGATCACTTGATTAAGAAAATGTCACAGTTCAAGCAAATTGGAACAATACAAAAGTGGAGCAAGAGCAAGGAGCTCTTTGAGGACTCTGTCAGGGCACCGACTTCCCTTTCCAGTGATGTTTGTCTCTTTTTCCACTAAGGAACAGTGCTTTGGAGTGCACTGCCAGACTTGGCAATGCTGGATGTCCAGACAAGAACAGCAGCATGAATTGGCCACTCTGCTTTTTATGTTTTTTTGGAACTACATCTCTGCAGCTTTGAGAAGAGTCTGGACATTGTGGTTCAAGCCTCCTTCCCAAATGATAACTTACTGTTACAAACTTCAGCTGAAGATGTAGAGAGGCACCAAAGCAAATTTCACAACTCTTGTTTGGTAGGACAAACCACTGAATGAGCCTTCCACTGAATTTCCACCCTTTAT